ACATTCAGGGACTTCTGAGCCCTGGACTTAAGCGGCTAACAACTTCCACTTACTTCCTCTCTGAACACTGATGTTTAGGGCTCTTTCTTTTGGAATTCAACCACCACGCTATGAGAAGCCTAAGCCCTAGGGAAAGATCACGTGGAGGAGAAACAGACAAACTGCTAATCATGTGGATAAGCTATCTTGGATGTCACAGTTCTTAGGTAACTGAAGCCCTGGCCAAAATCACGTGGAGAAGAACTTTCTTAGCTTAGCCAGCTAAACCCAATCTACTCACAGAATCATGAGTTAATGAAATGGTGGTTTAATGCCAACAAGTTCTGAGACTGTTTGTTATGAAGCCAGACATAACCAAAATAGAAATTGATACCTAGAAACAGAGTGCTACTGGGCCAGAACCAAAATCTGTAGCATTAACTTTGGAACTGAGCAGGAGATGGAGGCTGTGGGACCTTCAAGAAACCGTGGCGACTAGAAGAGCAAGGAGGAAATTGTTATTGGAAGGCAACCCTTGTTGTGAAAGGCAACACTGACCTGCAGTAATGTGAAAGACAGAACTGATAAACTTTCCCGCTAAGGGGAAGAAATAACCCAATAAACTTGTGATCTGGCTGAGATTTCAAGACAGAATATTGAAAATGCCAATGACTTTTTCTAATTGACTATGATCAAGTGTAAGAGAGAGATGAATTAAATAAGAAACTGTTCAGTTTTGGAGCAAAATTTATAGGAAATATAAAGGGCCCAGAACACATTTTTCAGACAGCAAGAGGTTCTCAAGTAGGAAACATCTTCTGAGCAAAGGTCAAATCCAGGGAACTTCTAGTGAGACATAGCATCAGAGTCAGGATCAAGGTGCAGCTGTAATAATATTTAAGGCCTCAGAAATACTTAAGCCAGTGCCTCATAGATCTCTTAGCTAGACAAAAAGACTTCCAAGAATCTTATGAGCACAGACTGTAGTCCACTTAGCTAGACAATAGGTATCTAAGATTTGTAAGGGCACTGTCCTTTAGCACCCTGACTCTCACTCAGCTCAAAGTACAGAGTCCTGTCTTGAATAGATTTGTGGGTGTGCCTTTTGTCTAATGGAATCACTACTTTGATTCAAAGAAAATACACGATATTTTTAAAGGCATTACATCACTTTGGTCTAAAAGGGAGAGATAGTTCAAAAGAAAAAGAGGCTTCTGGACCTTGAATCTTCAAAAATCAAGCAGGTTGAGAAAGCTACTCAGCTTCAAATATAAGCCATTTTTCATGGAAAGAGACTCAGGTTAAAGAGTCAAAATCTAGTAGGGAAGAGCCAAGAGATGAGAACCACTCTCAGGGAGAATTAGACCTTAATTGACATATATTCCCTGCTCATAGAATCATGATGAATTAGATATGTGCCCAAATGGAGTTCAACTTGCTATGGAGCATTCACTACTCTGTCCCTCTAATTTCCCCCCTTTTTGAACAACAGTGTCTATTTCCTGTCTTGTCATTATATGCTGGATGGGTATGGGGACGAAAACTTCGTTCTTTAGTTCATGCATTTTCAGATTGAGAGAAACTGCAGTAAGGGTTGCTCATGTCTACCTGATTTAGATGACAAGATTATGAGCCTTGAGTCTGAATCTGATGGTGTGAAATTTTAAGGTATTTTGGAAAGTGGTGAATGCATTTTCCACACGTCAGGAATATGAATTGCTATAGCCAGGGGTACATTATGGTAACTAATTTCCAAAGATGGCTGCCATCAAGCCTTTTTCTTCTTGCATATGCATACCCATTGAGAGGTAAAGGTTCTTTTTCCCTTTCCCCTTTAATCTAGGCTAGTCCTGTAGATTACTTTGACCAATACCATGTAGTGATAATGATGTTCTACAACTTCCAAGCCAGGGACTCAAGGGGACCCACAGCTTCTACTGTTTTTGGAATGCTCACACTTGGGATGCTATATTTTGGATAACCTAGCCATCATGATAGGAAGAAGCCCAAGCACTCCGACAGAGGAACCCCCAGGTCATATGGAGAGGTCACACAGAGAATTGAGGTGTAATAGCTGAGTTTCCAGCTGACAGCCAGCATCAGAGGCCAACCATGTGAATAAGATATTGTGGATGTTTAAAATCCAATCAAACTCCTAGAAAACTGCAGCTCTAGCCAACATGTAGAGCAGAACCACCCAACTGATCCCTGTCAACTCAGAACTGTGAGAAAAATAAAATGGTTGTTGTTTCAAGTCCATTAAGTTTGAAGTGGCTTGTCAGTAACAGACAATCAAAATAACACATGTGTTAATATCATTAAGTAAATAAAATTATCAGTTTCAACTCAATAACTAAAACATCAATATTGTTTCATTTATTCATTTTCCTTCTTGTTTTCCTGTCCTGCCATCACTCTCACCCTGAAATGGTAACCATGGCCCTGAATTTTTGCTATATCATCCTTCACATTAAAAACAAAAAAACTTTTATCACAAATATATGTATCCCTATATAATACGGTTTAATTGGCTTTTTTTAATAAAAAAAGCTTTATAAAAACTGCATGTAGGCTTTTCAGACTTGCCTTATTTAATCATCATTTTTCTCACGTTATTCTCACTGCTAAATTAAGTTACAAAATCCACTATTTTTTATTCTCTTGTCAATGACCATTTCAGTGTTACAAACAGCACTGCCTTGAACCTTCTTACACATGTACTTGTGCACATGTGCAAAAATTTCTCTAAGGCAGAAGTAGAATGATCAGGTTTTAGAGTATGTGAATGCTTAACTTTACAAGATAATGCCAAATTGCTTTCCAAAGTGTATCAGTTTACAACCTTACCTGTAGATGTCTTCTTGATGCATATCTTCATTGGTATTGTCATATTTCTTAATTTTTCAATCTACTGGATGTAAAATGGTACTTACTGCAGTATTAGTTGATGACTTCAGATTAAACATCTTTTCGTGTGTTCAGTCTTAAAATACCTGGTTTCTATCTTTAGCTCTTTTCTACAGGACAGTGATGAATAGAAGTGGTGATAATAGGCATCCTTGTCATGTTCCTTATTTTTAATGTATACAACTTCGTCAAGATGCATTATCCTTTTCTACACAATGTTGAATTCACTTTGTCAATAATGCTGTTGACTCTCATATCTGTGTTAATACGTGCTATTAGTCTGTAATTTTCTTTTCTCCTACTGAATGTGTCTGATTCTAGTATCAATAAAAGTTATTCAGGCTTCATAAAATGAGCTGGAGGGTATTCCTTCATTATCTATTCTCTGCAAGAGTTTGTATAAAATGTTGGAATAGCATGGTCCTTGAAAGAGGAGTAAAACATCTGTAAACATGAGCTAGATGTTCTTTATCAAAATTTTAAAAATTATTTCCTATTCAGCACTATTGAGTAAGTCTGTGTAGCTTGTCTATTTATTCTTCAGCCAGTTAAAGGAAATGGCACTTTTCTAGGTGCCTTGGTCTATTTTGTCTAAGTTTTCAATTAAGACGCTCCTGGTAGTCTGTTATCATATTCATCTCTGCTGTATCTACGGGTTAGGACCCCTTTTGCAATCTTTCTGTTGTTTACTTTAGCTCTGTTTTCTTCTTGTTCAAATATGCCAATTTGTTTTGTCATGAAAACAACTTTGACATGTGATTCTGTTTTCTAATCCATTGATTTCTTCCCTTTCCTGTGTCTCCTTGCTTCAACACTGTGTTCATTCTGTTGTTCTTTTCCTAAGCCACACACATAACCTTTTTCCTTAATTTAAGCATTTAAAGCCATTTCCCTCAAAGTGCTCTTTCTGCTGCATCACCCAGTTTTTCCAAATGTAGTACTTACAATTAGGTTCTAAGTATTTTTTTCTTTCACCAACTTGTAAAACCATAACATAAAAAAAAATTAACCTTTATTACTGACCTCTAACTTATTTCTGATTATCCATTTAATACTAACTGTTTTGAAATTT